TGAATGGCCTTTACAATGTCCTCTTGATGTTGTGGGGTGCGGTACTCTAGCTGCCTCTGGAATGTTGCCAACGCAGACTTGTGCGCCTTGCACAAGGAGCATGGATATGCGGTGCCCAGTGACTTTGTGCAAGTGAGCTTGCAATTCTTTGGGTAGTCAGCCACGTAGGCGTAGAGTGCAGGGAATGCAGTAAATGAATGACCCGAAGCATCCTCAACTCTGGTACCCCTGTGCATGACATAACAGATTATGCGGACATTCAGATGCTAACATTTACATGGTGGGGAAGGACGACGATGCTTGGACTGTCAATCCGCACACACACATGGCTGGCTTTCTTCAAAGGCTCCAACACGTGTTGTAATACTTGTTGAAAGACCTGCAAACGATCGATGGTGGTATACTCTGATGGGAATTGGGGTAGTGTGGCAATCAGAGCATGATCGGATGGCCTGAAGCTTTTCCTCCGCCGTCCTTCAGAGTTTCATCTGAAGACAGGATTAAGGTGGCCACGACGTCGTCAGGTCCCAATTGATCCTGCCATTTTGGTTGGGACAAACCAGCGTTGATGAGTTTGCAAAGCATGGTTGCCCAATTGAATCTATTGTGGCAAAGTCCTACAAGATGGCACATACCTGCCACATGTTCCAAAACTCAGCCGTCTCTGGAGCATCATAGATGCAGACGCCGTTGACGAACTTGCGATGTGCTCCTATCACGAGTGGGTGCGCCAGCCTTGACTCACTCAACAAATCTCTCATCGCCTGATAAAGGTGAACGAGATGGGGGGAGAGGGACTATTGGGGTTCAAACTTGGTCAAGTGTATCAGGGTAATTTCTGCAACTCCATGTCTCACAAAGGTCTTCGCAAGGGAAGGGCTGAGAGGGGGGGAGAGGCAAGGAGGGGGTAGCTGGGTATGAAGCATTGATACTCTGGTGGAAGGGGAATCCGTGCTCCATTCCTCGGTTTGGGAGGGGGAAGGAGAGAGGGGAATGGGGTAGCTGGGTATGAGGCATTGATACTCTGGTGGAAGGGGAATCCGTGCTCCATTCCACGGTTTGGGAGGGGGAAGGAGAGAGGGGAATGGGGTAGCTGGGCATGAAGCATTGATACTCTGGTGGAAGGGGAATCCGTGCTCCATTCCTCGGTTTGGGAGGGGGAAGGAGAGAGGGGAATGGGGTAGCTGGGTATGAAGCATTGATACTCTGGTGGAAGGGGAATCCGTGCTCCATTCCACGGTTTGGGAGGGGGAAGGAGAGAGGGGAATGGGGTAGCTGGGTATGAAGGATTGATACTCTGGTGGAAGGGGAATCCGTGCTCCATTCCACGGTTTGGGAGGGGGAAGGAGAGAGGGGAATGGGGTATCTGGGTATGAAGCATTGATACTCTGGTGGAAGGGGAATCCGTGCTCCATTCCTTGGTTTGGGAGGGGGAAGGAGAGAGGGGAATAGGATAGCTGGGTATGAAGCATTGATACTCTGGTGGAAGAGGAATCCGTGCTCCATTCCTCCGTTTGGGAAGGGGAAGGAGAGAGGGGAATGGGGTAGCTGGGTATGAAGCATTGATACTCTGGTGGAAGGGGAATCCGTGCTCCATTCCTCGGTTTGGGAGGGTGAAGGAGAGAGGGGAATGGGGTAGCTGGGTACTAAGCACTGATACTACGGATGGAAGGGAAATCCGTGCTCCTTTCCTCGGTTTGGGAGGGGAGAAGGGCGGGCTGACTGGGAAATTAGAGATTGGGTGGGGGCATGGGAGGGCGGCGAGAGTACAAAGGGATTTGGGGGACAAAATGACGAAGGGGTGGATGTCATGGAAATTCGAGTCTCATAGACTCTGTTTGACTTGCGGAATTCGGGGTCTAAGTGTGGGGAAGAGGACGGCCATAAAATGGATGGGAGATGAAAGGGGAGCTCTGGATCTTTACCTGACTTTTGGTGCGTGAAATGGTGGGCAGAGAGGGTGGAAAACGAGGAGGGTCTGGATCCTTGAAGGTGTAAGGAGATTTTGGAATCCCGCTTTCTCACTGAAGGTATCACCCAAAATGGGGGGAAACAGGGGGCGGGTGGGGAGGGCGGGTCTAGAGGGTAATGATGCCAACACGTACAATATGAAAACAAGTAGTGATGCCATGAATGCATTGAAACGACACGCGAATGCTTCCGTGCTGCAAGTGGGTTGACATGTACGTTTTGAAAGCATTGCTTTCAAGCCAACAACGACAACGACAATTTGCGTTTGCAGTTGGCATATATGCACCACTCCAATACGAGCGCATACAGTATACAAACGTGTAGTGATGACGTGAATGCAATGAAGCAATATTCGAATGCCTCAGTGCTGCAAGTGAGGTTGATATGGACGTTTTGGAAGCATGCTTTCCAAGCCGACAACTGTAATTTGCAAAATGCACTTTGCATACGGTATATGCATCACTCCATTGCAAACACAACATGTGATAATGACACCATTACAAAATGATTAACATATACCATGCAATCCAACATAGCTTACAAAAACAATACACACGCCGAAGCATACGATAAACAAGGGGGAATGGGAGGGGGAAAGACAAAGACTCTTTGCATAACATACCTAAGGCTCAAAGAAGCTCAAATACTCAGTTATTTCTGGCATAGTTATTGCAATCACCCCCCTCCCCCCCTCCCTCGCCCCCTTCCCCCCACCCCCTTGGCTTTCCACCCCTCACTTCCCCCCTTCGTTCTCTTCCCCCCCTCCCCCCCCCCCCCCTCTCCTCCCCACTCTCCCTCCTGCTGTCCCCCCCGCCCCCTCCCTTGAACGTGGCAATGCACAAATCTAGTTATACGCGCCTACAACCTGCATGAGATGGCGACAAAAAACACACGTTCAAAGAAGCTATAGATCCAAGTGCAAGGGAGAAGAGAGTGCCAAGTCTAGCAACAGCGGCAATGGCAGCAGTTTTGAAGCCTTGCAACAACAGTAATGGCAGATGTTTGCAGCCTAACAACACCAGCAATGGCAGCAGTATTGCAGCCTAGCAACAGCAGCAATGGCAGCAGTTTTGCAACCTAGCAACAGCAACGATGGCAGCAGTTTTGCAGCCTAGCAATAGCATCAGTGGTATAAAGCATGAAGGAGGAGGAGAGGGACGGAAACGGCCATAGTGCGAATGAAGAAATGAGAGCTCTTCCAAGGCGGTGTGCAGGTTAAAGCCTCTCGTTGATATTTACCCTTACAGCTGTGGTGGCGGAGAGGGAAAAGAAACAAGCCGACGAGCGGAAGGGAGGGAAAAAAGGGTAGTTGAGGGTTTTAGGTACCAGCGAGCACGGCGCTAGAGAGATAGCACCATGTGCGCAGTGCTAAGCCGTGCGCGAGGCACAGAAAGGGCTGCGCCAGAAACCACGGCACCTGCACACAGGGCGCCAAAGGGCCACGCCACGAAGCGTGGCGTCTGTGCGCATGGGGCCAGTGCGCGCACGGCGCCAGAGAGGGCCACGCCAGAAAGCGCGGCTCCTGCGAGCACGGCGGCCGCGCGCACGGCACTAGAAAGGGCCGTGCTAGAAAGCGCGGCGCCTGCGCGCATGGCGCCAGGGAGGGCCACGCCAGAAAGTGCGGCTCCTGCGCGCACAGCGTCTGCGTGCACGGCACCAGAGAGGGCTGCGCCAGAAATCGCGGCGCCTGCGCGCACGGCGCCAGAGAGGGCGATGCCACCGAGCGCAAAAACGATGTTCACGGCGCCAGCGAGTGTGGCGAGCAGCAGCTAATAGAACATGTCTAACTTAGACGAGCTAACAGCACTCAAGAAGCTAAAGAAAGGACGCACGAAGTAAAAAAAGCGAGCTAGCTATCAGCTTGGTAAGGCATGACGCAGACCGGGGGGTAAGAACCTAACGTTGTGAGAGCCAAGTTAGAGCGTGCAAGAACGAGCAAGAACGAGTTACAGAGGAGTTGGCTAGCGAGTCGAACAGGAAGGAGAGAGGGACCAAGAGTCTCGTGACTCAGCGCTGGGGAGCGTTCGCCAGCATGGGAAAGGCCAGCTCGCGTCAGCACACGGATTTTTGGAAGGCATCATTCTACACCAAAGGGAGTGTTATGAAAATGGCTTTTCACAGTATAAAACACATTGTGTTGAGATAATTAGGAATAATGAATATAGAATTAATCAAGAATTGGAATAATAGCATTTTGAAACAATTTAAAATCACTCGTTGTAGGATTATCCTTGTTTTGCAATAGCACAATAAAGGTAGCTTAACTAAAAGAGAATAGGCATACCAAGAATGAAATAGCTTATAAAAGGTGAGCCACACAACCCTTCCGACGCCAAAGCATCGAATCTTGTTTATACTGGCCGGCCCAACGACCCTGACGGAACGGTATCGCTCCATCGCAATTATCAGCGCGCAGATTCCCCCCAATCCAGATTCTCGCCTAGAAACATTGACAGGCCGAATTCCATTAGCCGAATTCGCCGTCACGTCTCCGTCAGTTTGGGGGCAAAGATCGCACTTCCACAACTGAGCCAAAATTACCAAACCGCTCCCCATTCCCACCAATGAAATTCCAATTGATTCTCCACACCACTTTGCTGCCAGCTACAATTTCCCCGCAATTCCTGCTACTTCCCAACTCCCAAGCCCTCTCTGGTTTAGCATATAATCTCCAGCTTTTATTTCCAATCATCATCACCCATTCTCGCAGCCCTTTCTACTAGTCGACTCGCAGGTTCTCTCCAGAGCCTAAATCTTGTATTTTTTTGCAGAGAGTCTCTGCTGGAAACAAGTGCCTTTCTTCTCCCCTGCATTTTCCCCATGGCTCGCGTTTCCAAGGTCGTCGGCGTGCTGTGCCTCGGATTCTTCCTGCTGACTCTCGCCCTCACTCCCGCGGATGCCGTAATCGCGACCTCGGGTGGCGATTTCTCTGGGGGCCAGTGCCAGTACGAAGGCAGTTACCGCCACAGCCCCTATTTCGCCAACGGTTTTGTCGTGAAGGGATAGCTCCAGTTCGCTAACCAACTGGGATGAAATGGCATGTTTGTATGGTGGGTCAGGGCATCCACACCCCCCCAGGACGACATCTATAGCCTTTCAGGAAAACCCCTCTGGGCCATCTCAGTGCCCCCTTCCAACACTCCCCTCACTGGGAGGGCCCACCAAGGGCACAGGAAGGTGCTAACACCAAGAATCGAACCCGGGTCCCCCGCGAGCATTGTCCACGCTCACCGCAACATGAGGGGATAGCTCCAGTTCGCTAACCAACTGGGATAAGAGCACCCACACCCCCCCCAGATGACACCTGTAGCCCTTCAGGGGGACCCCTCTGGGCCATCTCAGTGCCCCCTTCCAACACGTCGCACAGGTTCCTTCGAGCAAGTTCGACAGCGGCAGGGGCTGTGGCACGTGCTACATACTCGAATGCAAGAACGGCGCGAGCTGCGGTGGACAGTGCGCGCGGTAGGGGAAAACGGCGATAGTTTCAACCTTCACTCCGTTGCGTAGAGCAAGAACTCTCGCGAGCAGTTGGGTGAAGTGGACGTGAAGTACCGCAGCGTGGACTGCCCTAGCAACGGTGGAATCGCCGTAAAGCTTTTGCCCTGGAGCAACACATACAATTTCCAGATTCATATACTAGGAACCGCGAAGGGCGGCGGGGTGGCGAAGGTGGAATTGTCGAAGGATGGCGGGAATAACTAGAAGAGCATGAGCGTGCGCTGAGGGGGTGCCACGTGGGTGTTGGCTCCCTCTACGGGTATCGTGGACGCTGGGAGGAAGGTGAGCGTGCGCGTGACGGTGGCGAGGGATGGGCAGCAGGCGGTGCTGACTGAAATGATTCCCACGAACTGGAGTGCTGGGAAGACCTATAAGGGCAACGAAAACATCTACTAGAAGCGCAGTGGCGAAAATATATGATGCGTTATAAGGAGGTGTTTCGGAGTAGATTGCTTCGTTTCAAGCTCGTGTAAAGCGGCAGAATAAGAAGCCAGAGGACCCATCTCGACGAGTGATTGGCCCAATGGTTGGTCATTGCCTCACACCGAATAAATACTGCTCATTCGCTTTGCATGCACTTTCTCTTTTATCATTGTCGTTTTTGCAATTTCGCTTTTGATAACGAACTTCCCATTTTCAGCAAGGCTACAGCACCAGAGCAGGGTCCCAATTATCAGCCCTTTTTTGTCTAATTGTCTGATTTTCAGACTGCTTTTTCCGGGCTTCTCTGATTTCTCGGACAACGGTTTTGAAAACCCCTGATTGCCCTAGTCAACTTTTCCAGATTTCTCTGAATTTTTCAGACTAGGCGTACATGATTCTCTGATTTTTAGACGACTGTTTCGAGTTTCTCTGAAACAGAGACATGGAGGTGACACGTTACGCGGTCACACATATTCCCTCATAGCCACTCTTACCTCCTCAAAATTCCCTGGGCAACAGACACAGCTAGAGCAGTTGTGACTGGACACTTCAACATTTCAATGAAGTGGACCTGTCACATCACAGCTCACACACTTGACAATGCCCTTCCCACTCAATTTCGTTGGGCACGATAGGGTACAAGCCACCACTACAACCAGGCACAATTCCCTCCCACACTGTTATGTGTTCTCTATCTCCCCCATTTTGCATTCTCCCGCGTTCCGTGTTCTCTCTCCCTTGTTCCGTTTTCTCTCCCCCCCCAGTTCCGTATTCCCTCTCTCCCTCATTCCGTATTCGCTCCCTGCCGTTCCGTATTCGCTCTCTCCCCCATTTCGAATTCTCTCTCTCCCCTGTTCCGTATTCTCTCACTCCCCCATTTCGTATTCGTTCTCTCCCCCGTTTCGTATTCTCTCTCTCCCCCGTTTCGTATTCTCTCACCCTTGTTTCATATTCTCTCTCCTCCCGTTTCGTATTCTCTCTCCCCCCCATTTCGTATTCTCTCCCTCGTTTTGTATTATCTCTCCCTCGTTTCATATTATCTCTCCCTCGTTCTGTTTTCTCTCTCTCTCCTTCTGTCTTTTCTCCCTCCCTAGTTTTGTTTTGTCTCCCTTTCCCGTTCCACTTTATCCCGTTCGTCGCTCCCCCCCTCTCTATTGTTTGTCCTTCCCGCTCTCTCCCATTTGTCCCCTCCCCCCTCTCCAGTTCGTCTCTTCCCCCCTTCCCTATACTGTCCTTCGCTCCCACCTTCCCTATACTGTCCGTCGCTCCCCCTCTCTCGCGTTCCTTGTTCCCCCTCATAAGATGACCATGATTCCTGATTCCGAACCTTGAAAAAATCAGACTACTCAGGACGCCGAGTTTTCAGAGTAGCCAAATTCTGATGCACGCCAAAAGAGAGAGAGAGAGAGAGAGAGAGAGAGAGAGAGAGAGAGAGAGAGAGAGAGAGAGAGAGAGAGAGGAAAAAAAAAAAAAACACACACACACACAAAAAAAACAACAAAAAACCATATTTTTGACCGGCATCCCTTGCATAATCAGATCTATCTGGAAAATCAGACACATTTTTTTGGTTTCTCTGGAAAAAAAGACAAGGAATTACGATTTCTCTGATCCTGGAAAGTGCATTAGACAACAAACCTTGTCTGATCCATCAGACAGGTGTTTTTTTTTAGGAGAACCCTGCACCAAAGCATTGTACACTTGGGAGATCCAGCAATTGTGAACGCTTGCTTGGTCCTCTTGTAAAGGCAGCGTGCTTCATTTCATATGGGTTATATTCATTATCCTCTTCCAACGATGATCGTACACGCATAGTCGGGTGGGTGGGCGGGAAAATAGTGTCAAACATATTTGTATATATTATTATAGGCTAGATAGGTGCATGCTCTTAGAGGGTACAACCACTTGAACAAAATCAACCGGCATGACTAATTCTAGTCAACTTTCTACTCTGAGATGGTATCACGCCCACCCGCGCTTCCGCTCTCGTCCTGGTCCCACCCGCCCGCTCCTAGCCGCCCCTTAGCGCCCCGTGCGCCCCATCTATCCTGTTAGTGCCCTGCCGGCCTGTTAACGCCCCGTTAGCGCCCCGTTAGCGCCCCGTCGGCCACCCTCTGGCCCGTTAGCGCCCTGCCGTTCTGTTAGCGCCCCGTTAGCGCCCCGTCGGCCCCCCTCTGGCCCGTTAGCGCCCCGTCGGCCCCCTCTGGCCCGTTAGCGCCTTAACGGCCCCGTTTGCGCCCCTCTGGCCCCGCTCACCCCACCAGCCCGTTAACGCCCCGCCAGCCCGCTCGCGCCCTACCGGCCTCGTTAGCGCCCCGTCGGTCCCATGCGCCCCTCTGGCCTTGCTCGCCCCGCCGGCCTGTTGGCGCCCCGCCGGCCCCGTTGGCGCCCTACCGGCCTCGCCCGCGCCCCGTCGGCCCTCGCCAGTCGGTCGGCCAGCCAGCCGGCTCCAGCCTCGTCGGCCTCCGCTTCAGCGACCAACTGCCGGACCGTCGAGTCCCAGCGCCGACCCACCGGCTCTGGCTCCCTTCAGCACCGGCTTCCCTGCCGGTTGTCTCCACGGCTCTCCACTGCTCTCCACTGCACTTCACCGCAGTACACCGCACTCCACCGCACTACACCACACTCTACTGCACTCCACCGCACTACACCGAACTCCATTCCACTCCACCGCACTCCACCGCACTATACCGTACTCCACCGCTCTTCACCGCTTCCTCCACCTGTCCTCCTCACTCTGTCAGCGGCCGTGAGCAGCTGCAGCAGTGGCGATGGCGGAGTCACAGCTCCGTCTGGACGTAGAGGGTCGGGCGCTCGACTTTGAGGCATGGCTCGTCGACCTTCGGGGTCACCTTACAGGTCAGCGTCAGGACGGTCACTCCCTGGCTGTTCATGTCGATGGCCTGCTTCCCCGCCCCCCTGCCCTTGCTGCCCTCCCTGATGCCCCCACCATTGCTGAGCATGAGGCCTTTTTCGCTGCTGCGCTTGATCGTGCCGTCTGGAACTCGCGCAACGCTGTCGCCCAGCTTGCTATCAGCCGTGCGCTCCCGCTATCAGAGCGTCCTCGCTTTACCATTGTAGCGAACACCCCGGCCATCTTAGATACTGTCATTGCGCGCTATTCCACACCCGCCACTGCCTCTGCTAGTCGCCTGATCCTTCCCATGTTGTTCTTTGATCTTGCGTCTTTCCCCACTGTCGCCGACTTTGCCACGCACCTCCGCGCGCTTGAGACGAGCTATCGCGCTGCAAGCACTGAGGCACAACTCATTGCCTTTCTGCCGCCATTCTGCGCTACCCTTAATCTCATCGCCACACGCCTCCCTGACCGCCAAGCCACAGCCTGCGACCACTTCCTTAGTCAGCACCCAGGTGACCTCACTCTCACCGCCTTTGTCACTGCCATGTCTGAGATAAAGACCCGCCAGCGTAGTATCGCTCAGTCTAGAGGTACTGTGGTGGCACCTATCTTTTAGGGCTGTGCTCCCTCCCAGTGCACTTACTCTGACGTCTCTGCTGCTGTTGCTGACGCCGCTGCTGCGGCCTCTACGCAGAAGCGTCTGGGTAAGGGTTGCCGCCCCAAAGGGGGGCGTGGTGGGGGGAAGGGGGGTGGTGGTGGGGAGGGTGGCGGCGGTGAGGGCAGGGATGGTGGTTCAGACGAGGGGACCGGGGCTGGTGCCCCAGAGCAGCCGCAGCGACAGACGCAACCTCAGCAGCAGCAGCAGCAAACTCAGCAGCCGCAGCCGCCGCCGCAGTCGTCGAAGCAGCAGCAGCTGTCATGGTGGACTGGCGGCGCTAGTGGCGGTGGTCGTGGGGGAGGGGGCAGAGCTCGGTGTCGGGTGGAAGCTCCAGCGCGGTCACCTGCCAGTACCAGCTTCAGACCAGCCCTCACCGCGGCACTGTTTGCCTCCGGCCCGGCCACACCGCCGACCATTGGTACCTCCGCCTGGACGACCTATTACGCCACCACTTTGGTCCTGCGTCGGACCCTCCGGACTGGTACGCCCTGGCTCGCCGTCGTGTGCCGGTCTTTGAGCTTGACATGGATCAGATTAGGAATGATATGTTTGTCATGTATGCTGATAACTCTAGTGTGATTGGACCCTATTACCCGGTGTTGCCTAGCGTAGGTGTGTCCACTGTATGTAGTCTAGGCTCACCTGCTGTGTCACGCGTAGGACCCCCTACCTTGTTTAGCCTAGGCTCCACACTAGCCCCTCCGCCGGCAGCCGCTAGCACTTCGCTCTCCTTTACGCTTGAATCCTGTGCGTCTACCTGCTTCTTCCGCGACCACACTTACCTTACGCCGCTTGCCGCCCCTGCCACCGTCGCACTTGCAGACCCCTCCTCCGGTGCGATAGTTGCACGTAGCTCCACCACCCATTTCCGGCGGCCCCCTCGAGCACTCTTATAGGCCTGCACATCCCCTTGTTCTCTAGGAACCTAGTTGGTGTCGGCTGACTTCAGGACCTCGGTGTCACCAGTACGTTCCCCGGACACGAGTGGTACACGGTCTACAATGAGACCGCCACTGGTGCTCCTCTGACCACGTTCCTCCGGGACCCTGTGTTCGGCCTGTTTACGCTTGATACTGCATCCCCCCTGGTAGCCGCGACTTGCTCGTGTTGGTCGCTCACTCACCCGTCGCTGCTGTGGCACCACCGCCTAGGTCACCCTGCACTCCTGTGTCTGTGTCACATGTCCCAGCACGGTCTTGTCCTAGGTCTCCCTGCGTCGCTCCCTTCCCTCCCTCCCTCGCCTGCACCGCCGTGCACGCCCTGCGTTGAGGGCCGGCTGTGCCATGCTCCTCACTCCTCCTCGCTTCGCCCTGCCACCGCGCCACTCTAAACCCTGCACGTCTGAGGTCTAGCCCCTGTCCCTGGGCCACGTCGAGAGTGCTACTTCCTTGTGCTTATCAACGACTACACGCACTACACCATGGTGTTTCCTCTAGAGTGGAAGGTCGACGTGCCTGACGTTCTTATTTTGTGGGTCGTAGCTGCACAAGTCCGTTGAGGTCCCCCCGTGCTGTGTCTCCACTCCGACCGTGGCAGCGAGTTTGCCTTCGGTCGGCTTGGCCGGTTTTTTTGTGCGGAGGGCATCACCGAGTCGTACACCCTGCCGGACTCCCCACAGGAGAATGGGTCATTGAGCGACGCATCGGCTAGGTCATGGAGGTGGCTTGTACCTCCATGATCCATGCCGGTGCACCCCATTTTCTATGGCCGTTCGTTGTTCGCTACACCGCTCACCAACTGAACCTGTGGCCCCACTCCCAGTGGCCACAGGTTTCACCGACCCTCCTCTGGACCGGGTCTCCTGGTGACGCGTCTGCAGTCTACATCTGGGGATACCTCGTTCACGTTCATGCTTTTGGCATGGACAAGCTCACTGCCTGCACTGTCCCCTATGTCTTCCTTGGTTTCCCCCTTGACTTGTTTGACTGGCACTTTTACCACCCGCCGTCTCACCGCTTCCTTCACTCGCGTGACGTCACTTTCGACGAGTCTGTCTCCTTATACCCGTCGCTTTCCCCACCCTTATTAATAGTTCCAACTCCCCCGGTAGCCCCTGCTCCCCTCCCTCCCCGTCCTGCTCTGTCTGGAGTGTCTCACGTCACTCCCCTCCCGTTGCTTGTCCCGATTGAGGAGTCAGCTGACTCCGGTGGCCCCGCGGCGTGGTTCTTGCCGTCTGCCTCTCCCCTGGTGTCCCCTCCTCTGTCGCTGCAGTCATCGCCGCTGCCGTAGTCGCAGCCGCAGCAGCAGCAGTAGCCGTCGCCATAGTAACCGCCGCTGTCGCAGCAGCAGCAACCGTCCATGGACTCTGGGGGTGCTGGCGTTGAGGAGGGTGCTAATCCTGGGGTTCTTGCCGTGGCTTGCCCCGGCGGGCTTGGGGGTGGCACCGGTGCAAGAGAGGGTTCTCGCTCTGGGGATGCTTGCTCTAGGGGTGCTAGAGTGGAGTGTTCCGGAGGTAGCCATGATGCAACTGGCGGTCCAGGTGTCGGCGTCGAGCGGCAGCAGCAGCAGTCGCCGCCGGTGTCCGCCCTTTGCCTTCTCGGCCTTCCCTCCCCTGACCGCTCACCTGCGCCTCCCTCGCCGCCTCCTCCCCTTCCTGTCCACGGTCCTGTGTTTCCTACGCCGGACTCGTCCCCAACCCGTTTCCCCCCTTGTGTCTCCTCCTCTGTCTTCTGACCCGACGCTTACGTCTTACGTCTGGTCTCGCCGGCCCTCTCGTGCTTGTCCTGTCTCTCCTGTTCAGAGTTCTCACCCTATATTCCTTCGTTCCCACGCATCTCGTCCTCCCTTCCTACCTTCGCCTCCTCCATCGACGCTCATTGTCGTACCTCCCCCTCTGTCTGGCTACCTTCGTGCTGCTCGTCCCATTACTCCTCGGGTCCTTGCCTCCCTCGTTACCGACCCGTCTGTTCCTGTCTCGAGTCTTGACGCTCGTGTCGCTTCTGTCACTGACTTCGCCGCTACCCGCCGCCTTGACTATGCCAGAGCTTTGGTCACTGGCCCTGCCTGCCCTCCGTCCGCCGGGGGCTCTCCTGCCCTTGGCAGTGACGTCCTGGAGGACCGACAGTACGAGCTTGCTTTCTTGTCTCATGCCGCTCCCCATCTCTGTTCCATGTTGCTAGTCCCTGAGGGTGACTTAGACGCGTTTGACATCCCGACCCCTTGCACAGACGCTGAGGCGACCTCGGGGCCTGGGCCTCTCATTGGATAGCTGCTATGGAGCAGGAAATGA